TTTTGCGAACACGGTGTATTTGTAGAAGTCAAAGGTGTAACGTCTCGTCAAAACAAGTAATTGACCCTTTTTTCTTCAGAAAAAGACTTTGGCCAGTAAGTTCAACGGACAAAATCAAAAAAATCACTAATTATGAAAAAGAGATTACAAAATAAAGAACCACCATCATAGTGCACGGCAAGTGTTGAAAATTAATTGACAGGAAAAGCAAAAAGTGCATGGAACTTCTGCATGAAATTCTCCGGTGTCAAGTTTAGGTAATTTGTTTCTCTAAGAGAAAAATCGACGGAAAGTGAGATATTAGGGCATCTCCCAGTGAGTTATCTTAGGAACTCTAAGGTAAAAATTTCTCGCGCACAGACGATGCGGGGGCAGTAGAAAAGTGGAACAGCAATCAGTGGCAGTCGTTAGATACTGCTGGGAGCAAAACCTTAGTGTCGCCGCCAGCGAACACTCCCAAGCCCGGGAGAAGCAAAAAAGTGGTATTGGTAAAGGCTCCCAAAGACTGGGAACCAGAGGATTAAACCAGATCAGCAAGGACGGCCTGGGGGACAAGAATGGATTAGCGGGATGAGATCTGAGGGATCTCAACCCCGCCTAGATCAAGAAAACGCAGATATATAACCCAGGCCGCAGAAGGAAGGAGAGGATGGAGAATCATCCGGACTAACAGTTACTACGTTCCAGTGTTCCTGTATCTAACCGTGATTTTGCTTGTGTCTTAATGCCTTATTTTTGTTTGTATTCCTTAATGCCTTATTTTTATAACCCCTTTTAAAATGCCTACTCAAATGCGTTGTAACCGGTTTAATTACCCATGTTTCAGTTTGAGGTTCGTGTTATTCATCCTTATCCGTGTTCGTGAAATAAATTTATAAAAACTCCAGGACCCGGGTGTCAGCAACAGGCTGTAATAGCAAACGAATTGAACGTACCAACCGACGACAAAGGAAGATTTATTCATACTTAGGTATATTCCTTAAAAAATCATAAAATTAAGATTACCTTATAACAGTTCAATCCCTCCTACGCAAATGTTAAAAACTTTTCATTTGCATTTTATAGTAAGCACTCTTTCTTTCGCACGCACTGTCAAAAAAGTTTATTTTTGTTTTCTGTTCCATTTTTCTTCCTGGTTTTCATTTTTCAGTATTCCTATTCCACAACAAAATGTTGCTTCAAACGACCCAATTAAAGGATCGGTGGAATGAAAATAACGAGTGTAAAGTTTTAGTTTTTATGACCTAATAAGAATTTGCAAAATTTGCAAAAACGGACCACCATTTCCCAGACTTGTTGACCATAATGGTTTGTGCTTTCAAACAAGCTCGTTTTGACGGTAAGAGGTAAAAAACTGGTTGTTATTAGTTTGTTAACAGGAATAACTGCTGGTGACTTTTGCTTGTTGGAAACGTTCACAACTGTCTTTCTTCTGTAGTTGCCATAGAGTAAGGGACGCTTTTCATAAACTAAGGATTACAGCTTTGCTTTATCATAACTTTATAACGCACAGTTTCTCCTTCTTTCCGGATTATAAAATCATAGACGATTACTTCGCTGTTGGCATGAAATACAACTATACAGTCTTCCAAAACTCGATTAACCGTTACTATTTATTGGTTTTCAGCTTTAGTACTATCCGGTGCTCTTCTGCTAAACTTTCTAAGAACAGATAAAGAACATTATAACAAACAACTTATCACTAAAATTGTGACAATTTAAACAACAAAAGCAGCCAAAAAACAATCGCTTTTAAAGTTAAAAAGCTGCGAAAACAGCGGCCTGTTAGTAACACCAGCAATAGTGAAACAAATGACAACAAAATGAATACTACAATATTAACCTAAAACTGGACTAACACTCTTTAGAATAAAAGAGAATTAAAAACAACTCCACAACGACAGAATAAACCACTTTACGGATCTTGGCAGCCACTATGGCTACAGGAAAATCCAGCGATACACCTGTCGTCACCGCAATTGTAAGCCGTCTTTTGTACCATTACTTTTATTGAAAGGACGACTATTATTACTGCTCAGACAAATTTTTATCTTTATATACTTTTCAAAGAACTGTTACTAAAAAACTATCGGTGAAC